CTTCTGCTCCTGCTCCCTCTTCAGCTCCAGCCTGGGGTCCCCTTTACATGGATTCTCCCTGGTCCCCTGTAGCTCTGCTTAGGGACAGCTTCCCTCCTCCACCCTCAGGCTGTCTGGAAACCAGTACCTAATATCCGAGGCAGGGTGCACACTTAACTCCTCCAAAGAAGAAGACCGCCACTTCCTCCCTCACGCTGGTAGGGAACAATTTGCCAAAGTGGGAGACCCCTGCACGCATGCTCCTTTCCCAGCGTTCCTTAGCTCCACTCCTCATCTCACACGGGTCCCGGAACTCAGTGTATGGCTCGGGTGGGATATGCCCTCCTCTCGCGTGCTCTCGATGATGTGCCCGGGGTCCTCCGTAACCGCGGGCTCGCAGACACTGAGCTCAGCATAGGAGGCTGTGGCGTCCACCTGCTGCGTTCTGTGTGGGCGCTCACTGTGACCCAGCCCTCCAGTTACTCGTTGCTGGAGAAGCCTGGTATGAGTGCAATGCTCATTTCCAGGCAGACAAGACGTGCAGATCCTTCAGGATTTTGCTTAAGGTTCGGCAGTTCAGACTGGAGTGAGGGCAGACGGGGGACTCTGTGTTCAGAGGGGAGAAACAGCTGGCGATCGAAGGGAGGACCTGGCCTCCTGGGTGGGAGGTGAGCTGGGGTGGGCAGGTGCCAGGCTGCCTCGAGCTCACCGCGTGGGATTGTCTTTCCCTGCACCTGCCAGATGTCTCCCCTGCTGGTGCCTGGGGCAGGATCTGAGCAGTAGCCTCCAGACTGTTTCTATATTTGCCTCCCTCAAATCTGTCCTCATTGCAGCCATTGGGGATGACCCTTAAATATATATAACAGCCTGACTCTGTTAGAGCCTCTTAGGGTGTCACCATTTCACTCAGAGAAAAAGCCAAAGTCCTTACGATGCCTTCAGCCCACAGCCCACCACGGTCAGCCCTTCCCTGTCTCTGACCTCGTTTTTGGCCAGTCTTCCTCCATGGTATCCACTCTACTCACCCTGCGCTCTCTTCTACTCCTGGCACACACACCAGGCACCTGTCCCTTCTACGACTGCCCCCTCTCCCTCCCATCCGGGCTGTTCTCCCACCCCAGGTGTTCGTGCCACATTTCCTCCACTGTCTTACATTTTCTGTTCAAATGTCACCTTGCTGAGGCTGACTTGGGCTGCTCCACGTAAAACACAAGCACCTTCTTGTCCCTGTAGACACTGCCTATCTTACTCCACTTACTTGTTCCCTGTAGAGCTTATACCTTTTAAAATAATCCATAATTAAGTATTGAGATGCATGGCATACACGTACCAATTGCCCATGAGGAATGTCATTGTTATGTACTGCAAACATGTACAGATAAAAAAAAAATAAAGATTGAGAAAAAAAAGAAAATATTTTTAAACTAGTTTTAGGATCGCACTGTCGACGAACATAATAGAAGCCATTGAACTGTAACAAAATAATATATGATTAAAGGAGTGAGTGATTGATCAGGAGACAAACTGCACAATAAATTGAACAGAGATAGCTTGTATAGCGAGCCATGGACAGTGTAAGTGCAATGAATAGTTCAGGCTTGTGGGAGAGCAAATAAGGAAGAAATGAATGAGGTAGGCGGGGGACCCGTCCACCTGGCTGGTTTTGGCCCTGGAAGGAGAAGGTGTGGCTGAGGCACAGGAACGGAGGTGGCTTTGGCTGGATCGTCAGGGCCCGGCGCTGGTCACGGTCAATGCAGAGGGGAGCAGGCAGAGCAAGACAGGCTGGGAAAGCAGGAAATGTCCCTTCCCTCCCAGGGCCAATTCGAGAAGGAGCCATGGCCAGGGGCCCACTGAGTTCAGTGGGAACGAGTGCCCCAGAGGCCCCTGCTATGCTTTTGCCATTGTACCTTGAAGAAATGGAAGCACTCTGGATTCAGGAGGGAACCCCCTCTTCCTAATCCTCTACCAACAAGGCTTAGCATCGTTTCAAGGGCAACGGAGGAGTGAGTGCTTCCTGCATCTGGCTCCGTTATCGCTGAGCAGGCAGTGAAGGGGAAGAAAGATACTGACCCTGGCACCATCGTTCCTTCATTTTGTTCATTTCCCCCTTATCCTTAGAAAGTGACATCCAGGACAGCAGAACTTTTGCTTTGTTTTGTTGCTCGATGCATATCTTGTGTCGAAAGGAATGCGAGGTATGTAGAAAGTGTGCAGGAACCATTGAGCACATGAATAGATCCACTCTGCTCACTTGAGGCCACATATTGTACCATCTCATGGAAATATGAACTTTTGTTGGGCCATGTCTCTTAAAGGACATTGGAGGTATTTCTAAGATTTGTAAGGAAAGCAAAGTTATCTTTCGACACTTTTTTTTTTTTTTTTTTTTTTACACATAAGGCTCTCCCTCTTGGAAGGAAGGATACTTCTGCATTGCTCAATCAAGGGTCACATGCATTTGAGAATATGTGAGGGCTCATTGTTTTTTAAATTAAACTGTTTATTTTAAGATAATTATGGATTCACATGCAATTTCAAGAAATAATATGAGGAGATTTCATTTACTGTTTACCTCACTGTCCCTGTTAATATCTTTCAAAACCATGGAGAATATCACAACTAGAAAATTAACATCAATCCCATCAAAATACAAATAAGTAATGTGGATCCTCATGGGTCTCTAAGAGCTGCAGCCCTTCCTCTGTACACCTGGAAACTGGTGATCTTTGCTTCATTGTGAAATTTGGTTATTTTAAGCATATTAGAGACTTGTGGAGTGAATACAACTGTAGGATCCATCGCTCCATTGTGTAATTCCCTAGAGATTTATCTAAGTCGTTGCATTTGTCCATAATTAATTACTGTTTATTGCTGAATAGTGTCCCGCTGTAGGGATGGACCACAGGTTTCTAATCAGTCACCTGATGATGAACCTTTCTTTTATTAGTGTGGCCTTATTACATACAAACTTGCCAAAAGATTTATGTATGGGTTTTCCATGAACATTCATTTTCACTTTTGGAAATAAATGTGCCAGAGTGCAATTGCTGGTTTGTATGACTGTTAGATGTTCAGTTTTTTTTTTTAATATGCCCACCAGGTCATTTTCGGAGAACATACAAATTTTGATTTCCATCAGCCATATTCAACTCATCCTCACCAGACCTTTCTGTAACCACTATGTTTTTGTTTTGGATAGTTGTTTAGTGATATATCCTTCAGGTTTTTACTTGCATCTATTGACTCATGACTATTGACGCTCAACATCTTTAATGACTTTATTTTCCTCACAATATACTTTTTGACGAAGTGTCCCTTTGTATATTTGATAATTCTTTCTTAACTGTTGAGTTTTGATAGCACTTTACAAACTCTAAAAACTAGTATTTTGTCGTTTGGTTTGCAAATATCTTTCCCTACTTCATTAGTCTGACTTTTCATTCTCTTAATACAGTTGAGCGAGTTTCTATTTTGATGAAGGCCCTTTTATCCATTTTCCTTTTATGAATCATACTTTTGTTGATGAATGTAAAATCTTCTGATGTAGTTTCATATTCTGAAGATTTTCTCCATTGTATGTTTTACATTCAAGGCTAAAGTCTTTTTTGAGTTAACTTAAAAATTTTGTATATTTATCTTGCACTCTGCAACCTTGCTGAATTCAGTTAGGAGTTTGTTTTTGTTTGATTTTATTACATTTTATTTATGTTTTTATTCCTTGAGAGATTTTTATATAGCCACCATGTCCAATGCAAAAAGAAACTTTTATTTTTTCTAATTTTGATGTTGTTTACTTTTCTTTCTCTATTTTTTTCATCCATATTGCACTGGCTAGAACTTCTTGTAGCATGTTAAATACAAGTTGTGAGAGTGAGCATCTTTCTTTTATTTCTGATGTTACAATGAAAGCATTCAGTCTTTCATCATTAGGAATAATGTTACCTGTAGAGACTGTAGATGCTGTTTATCAAGTAGCAAGTTTCTATTATTTTCTTCAGAGAGTTATTCTCAATGGGCATTGAATTTTATGAAGTGCTTTTTTGTCAGTTGATATAATTGTGAGATTTTTTTTCCTTCTTAAAGTATCAGTATGGTTGATTTTCAAAATATTAAACCAGCTTTCCATCCCTGGAATAACTCCCTTCTCATCATGGTAAAGTAAGAATTTTTGCATCTATATTCATCAGTGATATTGTTCTGCGGCCTTCTTTTTTATGTACTGTCTTCTCATTTTGGCTGGGAATCTCCCCATTTCCATTTTCCAGAGAAGATCATGTTATTTCTTTACTAACTGCTCGATAGAGCTTTCAAGTGAAACTATGTGGACTCAGAGAATTCTTTTGCAAAGAACTTTTTAAATGAAAAATTTAAGTTCCTTAACCATGGGGCTATTAAAGTTGTCTATTTCCTTTTATCTGTAATACTGAAGATGGAACCTAGAATCTTCATACTGAGTTACAATTCCAGTTTTTAAAAGATGATTTGAGAACCTTTTTAGACAGGGCCTGCCTCACTAAATCACTGAATTGCCCATGCTGGAGTTGGACTTCCCACTTTCCTTCCCCAGACTCCCAGAGGCTGTGGGACCATCTGAGCTTCAGGAGTGCAGCTCCCTTAGAATCTGGCCCAGGCCAGCCATAGTTGGCTGAAGATGGGCTGGAAGGGAGGGTGAGGAAGTCAGGACTCCCTGCCTGACGCACAGCTCAGACATGTGCTTCTGCCCTGAGCCCCCGACTGATCCGTCCTCTAGGTGGGCTGGTTCGTGAGCCGGACTCTTCTGCGGTGTGGACATTGGGAGGCATTATTTCTAGGTGGCAATCAAATATTCATCATGTCCCAAAAATAATATTTCATCTCCATGATGGATCTGGATTTGGCCATGAGAGATGTATGGGAGGGTTGTGGTCAGTGCCAAGTGTATACAGACCCTGGCCTTCGGGGACATAAAGAGTATCCTGTGAGAAGCCAGCACAGCCTCGTCCAGATACCCAGGGGACCTGCTGTGAGCACAGAGCCTGGAGATGAAGACCTCACTGCTGGCCATCTTGTTGCTTGGTCTCGTGGCTACGCTACAGGCTCAGGATCCCTTGTCCTTCCAGCCAGAGCAGGGAAATGTGAGGGTCAGTGGGGCAGTGGGCAGGGGTAGAAGAAAGGCCATGAGCACTGGCTGTAGATGACAGTGGAAGCTCTTTCAGGAAGTGTCATTTAAGGCTGGGTGTGGACCCTGTGCTCTCGGCCTGGAGTGGTCAGTTTGGGGGAGTTCTTCGATGTTGCCAGGAGACATGGCCCCCCCCGGGAGCGGTCCTGGGATGGGGAGCAGGCTTGGGCCAGGAGTCCTGTGGAGGTGACACTCTGATCCTCGCAGTAAGGATTCCAGCCCTCTGGTGTAAGGACTCACCCAGGCCTGGGGCCTCATCCTTGAGCAGAGTGGATCCTTGGGAGTGTGGAGGCCCTGAGTGCTCAGGTCTGATCTACTGAGCAGTGGGTGGGAACAAGCAGGAGCCCAGCCCTTCCCCGGGAGCTGCAGCCTGGGTGCTGAGAGTGTCTGTTTAGGCTGCAGGCCCTTGTGCCAGGGTTGTGGGAGAAAAGCTGGCCTGGGTCACGCCGGGCTCATGGCTCAGCCCGTTCCAGTTCACAGGGACCTGGTATTTGAAGGCTGCAGTGGCCAAGAAGACCCCACCAGAGAGGAAGAAGCCCTAGAGAATGTTTCCCATGACAGTGACAGCCCTGGAAGGTGGGAACTGGGAGGCCAAGATCACCTTCAAGTGAGTGTTACCCGATGTGGTTCCCAGCTATTGGTTTGCTTTTCATCTAACATTTGAATGCTGGTGACAAAAATCCCCCGGGAGCATCTTATTGCTCAGGCGGGGTTGAAGTGGGATATTTGGGGTTACTTGGTCAGTAACTATGCTCGGGTGAGCTGAGCTGGGCTCGGGGGAGTCCTGAGAGCAGCTGCCTGTGCACCTCCTTTTTCTTTTTTCAGGAAGAAGGGGTCAGTGCCATGAAAAGAAAATTATGATGCAGAAAACCGAGGAGCCTGGCAAATATAGTGCATGTGAGTCCTGCCCGCTGTGCCCTGAGCCTGGCCTGCGTCATGTTAACTCCCAGCATGGAAGGGCCCGCGCCCTGTCCCCCTGTCCTGCTCTCTCCCTTTCTGAAGGTTTTGGGCCTCTGACATCAGATACTAGGTCTTGTCCATAGCAAGGACCAGCCAGGCCCCACCTCCTTCTGAGTAGTCCTAGCTATTGATCTATGAGGAGACCAAGCGTTATAGATCTTGGAAAAAGGACGAGACAGCTTCTTGGGGCTGGGGCAGAGCTCTCACCTCAAAATCCCTGGCATATTAGAAGGGGCTTCTGCCCAGTGATGGAGACCTAAAGGCCTGGGCTCGGGCTGGTTGGGTCTTTTGGGCGAGGGCTGAAATGTTCCAGATTGTTCCTCAGTGCAGTGCCTCAAACATCTTACCCAGGAATGAAGATACTAAAGAGCTATTTTCTGTACACAGTTCAGGGCAAGAAGCTCATCTATGTAGAGAAGATGTCTGTGGAGGACCACTACATCTTCTATTGTGAAGACCAGCGCTTTGGGAAAACTTCTGCCATGGGAAAGCTCATGGGTGAGGTCCTTGGCCACCATCTTCTGACCTACAGGCTCTACTTTTAGGAAGCTGGTGGAATCAGCAGCAGCCAGCATCTTGGAACCAGGGGACTGAAAACCCACCTGTGTGGGAGACTCGGGGTGCTGGTCACAGGATGCTGCCCAGACAGGATTCAGGCCTTTATTGGGGACAGGGTTTGGCTGGGTGGGGACTGTCAGGAACAGGGTCAGACTTGCTACTCATAGACCTGATTGATCAGGAGCAGGTTTCCGCCCCTGAACCTGGCAAGTGCAACTTCCTGGGGACTCTGTCGTATTCCTGCGCCAGCTTGAAGGGGGAGTGTCAGGGACACTTTGGGGAGCACAGCCCAGTGCCTCTGGGACACGAAACACTTCCAGGTCAGAGATATGACCCAGCAGGCCTGCCTGGGGGCCACCCAGGTCCTCAGGGTCCCTCAGTACCTCAGGGTATTCCTGCCCTGTAGCTCCTTGTCTAGTTTTAGTTTTCCCTTTTTCTCTTGCCCTGGCCAGTGTGGGGGTGAAGCCCCGGCTGTGTCCTCGGGCTATCAGCTCTCCACAGAGCCATGTAGCCATCTCCCCTCTGCTCACCTGGCCCCTCTCCCACAGGGAGGACCCCTGAGGAAAACCCAGAGGCTCTGGAAGAATTTAAGAAATTCATGAAGCGCAAGGGACTCCCGCAAGACAACATCATCATCCCAGAGCAGAAGGGTGAGGAGATGGCTCTGCCTGTGGCTTCCTCAATGTCACCAGTGTCCTCAGTGCCCCTTCTTTGTCTCCCATGTCCCTTCTGTATCTTCCAAGTCTCCCCGTGTCCCTTGTATTCTCCCATCTCTCTGTTTCCCTCAAGTTTCTTTGTGTCCCTCCATTTCCCCTCTGTCTTCTCACAGGGACACCAGAACCCCGCTTTGGGTCTTGGTCAGGAGATGGGTGAGCTCTGGGCATGATGGGTTCTGGCCCTTGTTTGGGACACCTTCTCACAGTTGGGTTTTCCTTGGTTTCTACAGAAAGCTGTGTCCCTGAGATTAGCTAAGGTAAGTGCCACCCTGGTAAGAAAAGTCCAGAGTCCTGGGTTCTGGAGTTTTGGGTCCAAATGCTCTTGCCTTTGCCCATCTGCTCTTGGACCAGAAACGGTCACCTCAGGAATTGGCCTTGGGTATAATTTTCAGGACGTTTATTAAGACTCTTCCTTTACAAAAGTCATCTCGGCACCATCTTCCTCCCATCTTCTTGTCTCCACTCAGCCCCCTTCCCTACCCTACACCCACCCAGAGGCAGGGAATCCCTGAGGACCCAGGGTCCCTGCTGGAGCCCGAAGCCGCTCAGAAGCTATTGCAGGGTAGCCTGGGGAAGGAAGATCACCGAAGGGCATTCACTGGTCCTGCCCCCTATAAGCCTGCCTGCCCGCCTCTCCCTCGGAGGGTTTCTCTTCCTGCTGCAGCAGCCACCTGGATCTTCATCTTCTGGACCCACTCTCTTCTCTGGACCAGCCATCCTGCCTGGGCCTCCCTTCTTACCTGGATCATCCCTCCTACTGCAGCCCTTCATCTACGTCCCCAACCCTGCGTGACTCCAAATAAAGAGCTCCGGTTTCCTCTCTGGGATCTGTATGCATCGTGTGCCTTGGGTTGGGTCCTCAAGAGCTCTGCTAGGAGGAGGAGGAGTTGGGGAGATGCTGGACCCGGCAGCTGCCGGCCTCAAAGAGTAGGGCATGGACAGGCTTGTGGGACCACATGATTCCCTGGAGGTCCACCCGATGAGCTATTACTGTGAGTGGCTTTGTGCAAGGCTGAGTCCAAGGCGGAAGCATTTGAGAAAGTCACTGGGGAGGACGGGACTGGGCAGACTTCATGCCATCTGGGGAGGGGACTCATTCTGAGGAGCCTGGACTCAGTTATAAGGTTGGGGTGGCATTACCAACACCTCCTTCCCAATCCCTTGAGAAAGACAGAGCTGGCCACATCCTCCCTTCAACCTCATTCACTTTCTGGCCTTCCAGTGGTTTGCCCAGGGAGCAGGGTGTGTGGTGACTTTGACCTACAGGGACATGGGGGTCACAGTGAGGACCGAGAGGCCCTGAATCCTGGATGATAAAGATAACCCTAGAAATCCCAAACCCCAATGAGAACCATCTTCCCTCAGCCTTCAGCAGGAAGGCAGCCCTCTGCCTGGTGCTCCCTGCTGCAGAAAGCATCCATCTTTCTCAGAGGAGCCATCAGTTGATCAGCTGAGTGACCGTCATCCTGACTACAACCTTGACCTGCAATCCTGTCCTGTGAGGACTCAGTTCTTGGGGCAGCTTCCTGGGCTGGACAGCCTAGGTGGCAGGGGCAGCTTCAGCCTACTGTGACAGTGGGCCTGGTGTATCACCTGCTGTCCAGCCCTAGAGTAAAATTAGGGAAGGGTCAGATACCTCTGTGTAAAAATATGAGAAAATAAGTAAAACATTTCACTGATCTCAGGGTGGAAGTGATTTTCAAAGCACCTGAACAATGAGGGAAAGCCTCAGCTGAAAAGACTGAGATTAAAAAAAAAAAGGAAAAAGCAGGAAAAGATAGCAATTGAAAGATAAAAATGTAAAATATGATGCACAAATTTTCTATGGAGACTGAAGTCTGGTGGCACCCGTGTGGGGATCCTGGCTCAGGTACTCCTGATCCAGCGTCCCTCCCCTGTCTGCCATGTTTATTTATCTTACTTCCCTCTCCACGTCCCAACCTGGTCTGCTGCTTGGCCCAGCACCCTGGCCACCTGCAATGGGTGATGTGTGGACAGAGCCAGGCCAGTCCCCTTTGGGGCCTGGAATCTCAACCCCGAGCTGGGAGGCATGAGCACTGCTCAGGTAGATGTGAACTCACCTGGCCCTTGATCAGTCCGTTCTGAGCCCCTGGAGCCTCCCAGGGGGCAGCCATCCAGCATCCTCCCTTCTCACCACCTGCCCATTCCACACCCCAGATTCTCCCTGTGCTTATGGCAGAGTACAGATTTGTGTTGCTGCATTGGGATGCCGGTTGTTCCAGGGTCGTTGAAGCCTACATTTTAACAGAATGGGTTGGCCACTTACTTATTTAACAAGGAGTCCACATGATCTTGCATGCTGTTGGTGATCCATGAAACAAATTGCAGAATGAATGAGCATTCCCAGTAGGAGAATAACCCAGATGCCCAAGGTGGCACAGAAAATTGGCAGTTGACTTCCTGGCTACATTAGTTGAATGTGTTCATCAGTGGATCCTGGGTTGTAGAACTGATATTTAGGGGCATTAATTTCAACCATAAAAGGTTTGGCCCATAGTGAGGTCTGCAACCTCACCCATCGGTGCATGTAGCTATCGGCATGCCTAAGTCCTCCAATCCTGGTATGGATTACGGACCTCCTTGCCTCTGCTGGTTTCCTCTCCCAGGATATGTTCTGGCTCCTTAATTCTCACAAAAATCCAAGAGAAAAATTCAGGCAAATCTTTAGGCAGTGGAAGCACTTTAGATTAGCTGTGCTATGGTAATTTGGGGGACAAATTTTAATCTAAGTCTGGACTTGTACTTAATTCTGGCCCATGGCCCTGTTAAAAAGTTCTGAGGTAGGCAATGGGGGTCCTTTTATGACCTCTATATTGAGTTGTACAGAAGAGTCCTTGGCTGAGCTGGTAGAACTAAGAGCTATGTTATGGCTTGGGTCTAGAAGTCCCCTCAAAGCCTCATACAGTCTCAGGTGGGGATTTTCAGAAGTGGCTGGATGTAGAGTGTGTCATTACTAAATTAGTCCACTGATTGATGTGGCATAGTGCTGCTGGCATCAAGGATGTGATGCTGTGATTGATTCATGGTGCAAGGGCACTAGAATTAAGGGTGTGCCATCCACCCTAAGGGCCTGGATAAGATATAAGGGGCAGGCAATGTCTTGATGATGCCAGTTGCTCACTGCTTTGGCTGTCTTCTGCTTACCATGGACTGTTTCCTCCTCTGTGATTCCCCTCTGTGATGTGCCCTTTGCCTAACTATGGACTGAAAGCTCTATCAACTGTGACCCAAATAAACCTCTCCTCCTTTAATTTGGATGTTGGGTATCTTGTCCCAGCAACAAAAAAAGTAACTAAACCAAGCTTTTAATAGTGAGAACTGTCATCCCTGACAGCTCTTAGCACTGATGGAGAACTGGCCACACTGAGTTGGAAAAACTGAGAAACGAGAGTTGATATCACTAAAAGAAGTTGTACTTTGCCTTTTACTGATTTCTATCCACATTGAGCAGAAGAACCCTTGACTAAGAGATAACTCTGCTTTTTCAAATAAGCAAACTTAAGATCTGGTCTCCTATTTCCTCATGTTTAGTTGTCTCATGAATAAACCCTCTTTTTCATAAAACTCATCATTTCAGTGGTTGGTACAATGTGTGTCAGGAAAGAGTGGCTTGGTTTGATGACAATTCTACCACTTTCTGCCATTTGAGAATCTGGTTCCTGTGACCATGTATTCATTTGGATTGATTTGAAGTCCTATTTTCAACTCTTTGGGGTCACTTGCGTTTTTCTGGCTCTCCAAGTACCATATGTGAAGTTTCTCTTACTCCATGTGTCCTGGGTCCCTGTATTCATCCATATCATTTCTGTGTGACATCCCATTCTCTCTCTAGTCTAGCCCAAGATCTTTGGGAAATCAGTTGCTCCCCTGAGTTCTGAGACATCTTTGCAGAGTATTTTTCTTTGTAAGCATCTGGATCCATCTGAGTTGTTGACTCCAAATAACTAAACTGATCATGAATGATTTAAGCAGAAACAGAACTGAATTTGTTGACCCAGTTAGTCACCGAGCCCCAGAAGAGGAAGTGGGAAAATTAGGCTTGAATCTTTGTGAGCATCATGAGGGGCTGGGAAGGGCCTTGTGAAGCACAGCTACCAGGTTCACTGGTTGGGGTCACTTACTTTCCTAGGGTTCTAAGGACACCTTGGTGTCACATGATCTTCAGAGCTAATGATAGATGCCACCAAGTCATGCTTAGTGACCCTGCACATGCTGCTGGGTGGAAGTGTCCTTCTCTGCAGTGGAGACGTTTGCCCTGCACTTGTCACTCACTCAGAGGACTGGAGGCATCACTGCAGGTTGACCGCCCATGAGGCTGCTCATGGCACCAGGGCCAGAGCACCACAGAAGAGGACAGCACTTAGAGACTCGTTGACAGAGTGAGCTAGCGTCTGATGGATTGTCTAACAAAGCATTGTGAGCTCAGACTGGGAAGACCCCTTCCCATGGTTTTCCAGAAATTCATTTTCCTGTGTGCAGTCATCAGAATAATGGCCCCAAAGACGCCCATATTCTGGACCCAGGAAACTGGATGTAGGAGCTTACCAGGTAGACAGAAATTAGGTTGCAGATGGAATTCAGGCTATTCTGGTGTCCCCCTGGGGTGAGAGATTGTCTTGCATGGTCCAGGTGGATCTGGAGCCATTGGGAGTTCTTAGAAATATGAGAGGAAGGAACGACAGCTGTGGCACAGCAGACATGGCTGCAATGCACTCAGATGGATGAGATGAGTTAGGACCTCGCTGGACACTGCAGATATGGTGATGGAAGGGCCCAGCCAAGGAAGGCCTTGGCCTCAGGAAGTTGGAAGAAGTAATACAGTGGGTGCCACCTGAAAGCCCCAGAGGGAGATGGCAGTGTGTTCAGAAGAGGGACACAGGCCTCTATAAGTCCATGTGGTGCACGGACTCCCCTGTGCTGTGGCATGAGTTTAAATAAAGCCTCCCTTGAGTAGCCCTCAGTCTGCTCGATTTATTGCTCAAATACTGGCTTCAGAGGGTCCTGTGAATCTACACCTGAAGAGTGTGGGCAGAGCGTTAGACACTGAGGGATGTGAGTCCTGCAGAGCACTAGAGAGCAGCAGCCTGCTGTGATCGATGGCAGAGACCAACAACGTAAGAGTACTGAGTCTCCAGC